ATGACTACACCTGTGGCAAGAGGAGATGGAAAAGCTCATTATCTTCAGCCAAAACAAGGCCAGGAGCTGATTGTGGAACAGACCATAAACTGCTAATATGCAAGTTCAACTTTAAGTTGAAGACAATTAAAACAAATCCACAAGAGCCAAAATATGACATTGAATATATCCCTCCTGAATTTAGAGACCATCTAAAGAATAGATTTGATGCACTGAACATCAATGACCGAAAACCAGAGGAACTGTGGGATGACATCAAGAGCATCAACCATGAGGAAAGCAAGAGGTCACTAAAAATATGAGAAATAAAGGAAAGACCAAAACGGAAGACAGAAAAGACACTGAAATTTGCCCTTGAGCAAAGAGTAGTTAAGGCAAATGGAAGAAATGACAAGATAAAACAGCTGAACAGAAAATTTCAAAATTTTCTGCTCGAGCAGACAAAGTCAGTTACTATAATGAAATGTGCAAAGACCTGAAGTTAGAAAACCAAAAGGGAAGAACACACTTGGCATTTCTCAAGCTAAAAGAACCGAGGAAAAAATTTAAGCCTCGCATTGTGATACTGAAAGATTCTATGGGCAAAATATTGAATGATGCAGGAAATATCAAAAGAAGATGGAAGAAATACAGAGAGTCACTATACCAAAAAGAACTTGTAGATCTACATTTATTTCAGGAGGTGGCATATGATCAAGAACCAATGGTACTGAAGGAAGAAATCAAAGATGCACTGAAGGAATTGACAAAGATCAAGGTTCCAAGAACTGACGGAATACCCATTGAGATGTTTCAACAAATGGATGCCCTGCTGGAGGCACTCACTCGGTTATGCCAAGAGATTTGGAAGACAGCTACCGGGCCAACTGACTGCAAGAGATCCATATATGTACCCATTCCAAAGAAGGGTAATCCCACAAAATGTGGAAATTATCGAACAAAATTAATATTGCATGGAAGTAAAATCTTACTGAAGATAATTCCAAAATGGCTGCAGCAGTATATTGACTGAGAACTTCCAGAAATGCAAGCTGGATTCAGAAGAGGATGTGGAACAAGAGGTATCATTGTTGATGTCAGATGGATCTTGGCTCAAAACAGAGAATACCAGAAAGATATTTACTTGTGTTTTATTGACTATACAAAATCATTTGATTGTGTGCATCCTAACAAATTATGGATAACATTGAGAAGAATGGGAATTCCAGAATACTTAATTATACTCATGAGGAACGTGTACATAGACCAAGAGGTTGTTGTTTGAACAGAAAAAGGGGACACTGAATGGTTTAAAATCAAGAAGGGAGTGCATCAGGGTTGTATCCTTTCACCATTCTTATTTAATCTATATGCTGAGCAAATAATCAGAGAAGTTGGACTATATGGAAAAGAATGTGGCATCCACATTGGAAGAAGAATCATTTAACAACCTGCGATATGCTGACAACACAACTTTGCTTGCTGAAAATGAGGTTGACTTTAAGTACTTACTGATAAAGATTAAAGACTTCAGTCTGCAATATGGATTACATCTCAATATAAAGAAAACAAAAATCCTCACAATTGGACCTATAAGCAACATCACGATAAACGGAGAAAAGACTGAAATTGTCAAAGACTTCACATTGCTTGGTTCTACAATCAACACAATGGAAGCAGCAGTCAGGACATCAGATGACGTACAGCACTAGGAAAATTGGCTGCAAAGAACCCCTTTCAAGTGCTGAAGAGCAAAGATGTCTCCTTGAGGACTAAGGTGCACCTGACATTAAGTCATGGTATTTTCAATTGCCTCATATGCATGTGAGAGCTGGACAATGAATAAGGAAGACTGAAGAAGAATTGATACTTTTGAGCTGTGGTGTTGGCAAAGAATGCTGAAAGTACCAGGCTAAAAGAACTAACAGGTCTGTCCTGGAGGAAGTGCAGCCAGATGCTCCTTGGTGGTGAGAATATCCAGACTTCGTCTCACATACTTTGGTCATGTTGTCAGAAAGAACCAATCCCTGGAGAAGGGTGTCATGCTTGGTAAGGTAGAGGGTGGACGAAAGAGGGGAAGGCCTTCAATGAGATAGAATGACACAGTGGCAGCGGTGATGGGCTCGATTATATGAAGAATCATGGAGCTGGCTCAGGACCGGGCAGTGTTTCGCTCTGCTCTGCTCTGCTCTGCACAGGGTCGCTAAGAATCAAACACGACTCAACGGCACCTAACAACACAACAATGATTGTTTGTTTCAGACAACACTTAATGGTAGCTAAGTCTTGGTTTTCTCAAAAAAAAAAAAAAAAAAAAAACATGGCTTGGGTTAGGCACACCTTAGTCTTCAAAGAGACATCTTTGCTCTTCAGCACTTTAAACAGGTCTTTTGCAGCAGATCTGCCCAGTGCAATATGTTGTCTGATCTCTTGAGTGCTGCTTCCATTGGTGTTGATTGTGGAACCAAGCAATATGAAATCTTTGAAAACTTCAATCTTTTCTCCATTTATTGTGATTCTGCTTACTGGTCCAGTTGTGAGAATTTTTGTATTATATGTTGAGGTGTAATCCATACTGCAGACTATGGTATTCAATCTTCATCAGTAAATGCTTCAAGTCATGTACACTTTTAGCAAGCACGGTTGTGCCATCTGCATATTGTAGGTTGTTAATGAGTCTTCCTCTAATTCTGATGCTTCATTTGTCTTCATATAGTCCAGCTTCTTGGATTATCTGCTCAGTACACATATTGATTAAGTATGGTGAAAGGATACAACCCTGGCACTCTTAGTGGCATAGCCTCCAGCCTCACAGCAACATGCAAGCCACCACAGTAGGACAAATTGACAGAGGACTGGTGGTATTATTGAAATAGGACATATGAAAGTAAAAAAGGGAGCTATTAATAATTACGGTAAGGCAAATGCTAAAAGAAAGGGCTTAAAGGAAAAAAACTGTAAATCTAGAATTTTCTATCCAGTGTAAATAGAAAATACTTTCCAAAAATGAAGCTAAGAAATGCTATAGGCCAAAGGGACATAATATCACATCGAAACCTTTTATTGGAAGGAACAGAAAAGGATAAAAATGAAAGAAAATATAAAGGCCTCAAAAACAAGTTATTCTGATACACACACCCCAATAAATCTTTTAAAAATTCTGATACTGCACTCCCCTAAAAAAATCATCTATATGAGACCAAAGGGTCATCAATTATTTTATTTATTTTTTAAAAAATGTTTATTGTGATTTTGGTGAAAATTTAGAGCAAATTGATTTTCCATATAGCAGATCATATATTTTGTCTCATGACATTGACTACAATTCCCCACAATGTGACAGCTCTCTTCCCACTTCTTTCCCATTGTTACTTCTTCCTGTGTCCTTCCCTCCCCTACCTTCCTGGACCCCCAACCCCCAGCTGTCTCCCTGTGCATATGCTACTCTTCTGGTCTCCCATGATTGATCACTCCAAGTATTGTATCTACCTGATGCAAATGTTCAGCCCATATGCCTGTCTATTATTTGGCTGGAAGCCACAGGAGTGAGTTCAATTCCAGACCTGAAGGGTAGCTAGGGGCCATAGTCTCAGGGGTAGGGTCATCAATTATTTAAAAAAAAAAGTTAAGTGAGCACAAAAACTACATTACTGGAAATGGAACAATCAGAATGGAAACAACAAGGAGAATGATCATGCATTGTAAACTATGTAACCAATGCCTTCAAACAGTGTATAAAAATCGTTGAGTGGGAACCTAATCTGCCAGTGTAAACTTCCATTGAAAACATGGTAAATTATTATTGGGGAAAAAAAAAAAAGATTCAGTTTATTAATATTCAAAATAAAATAACAATATACTATAGGGTTAATGGCATATGTAGATGTAAAATATATGGAAGCAAATGGTATTAAGAAAGTTAACACTCTTTGTGAAGTAACAGCATTTTTTTTAAGGTAAACTCATCTTTTAAAGATGCAAATTGTAATCTCCAGAACAATCACTAAAAACACACACAAAAAGGCATAATTAAAAATTGAACACAGAAAATAAAATGGATGATTAATAGATACTTGATTTACCCAAGGAGCTTTAGTGGTGTAGTGGTTAAGACGTTTGGTTGCTAATCAAAAGGTCAGTGGTTTGAACCCACTAACCACTCCACTGAAGTCTGCTTCCATAAAGATTTACAGCCTTGGAAACCCAATTAAGGTTGCTCTGAATCAAAATCAACTCAATCACAGTGTGTTTCGGGATTTGATTTACCCAAAAGATGATAAGGAAGAACAGACAAAGAGCAGGCAGAATATAAAAAATCACCATAGATTTAAGCCCAAACACTGTTAATAATTAAATATAAATAGAATAAGGACTCCAATAAAAAGAGATTGTCACACTGGATTTTTAAAAATAAAACCAAATAACATCAAATACCTAAGAATGTATCTAAAGATGTGTTTGACCTCTACACTGGAGCTCTGCTGGTGTAGTGCCTAAGGCATTTTACTGCTAACCAGAGGCTAAGGGTTCAAACCCACCAGCCACTCCCTGGAAGGAAGGTTGGGCAATCTACCTCCTTAGTAATGCCACCTCGGAAACCCAAGAAGGGGTTGCTATGAGTCAGATCCCACTCGACAGCAGTACGTTTGGTTTTATCACACATATATACATATCACAACATTAGCCAATTCAATGTTTTTCACCTGTACAATTTAGTAACATTGATTATATTGATCATGTTGCAACCATCATCCATAACCATTGCCAAATTTTCAATCACCATTGGCAGATAACTAACTCAGCCTTGACTCAGATCCCTGCTCCTGACCAAGATGCTAGCCCCTTGAATCAAGTTAGTTTGTGGGTTGTGCTTTTTTTTTTTCCATTATTACTGAAATTTAAATTAAACCTTGGGTCCTGCCACTGATACCGCAACTTCATTTTTGGGAAACTTACACTTCTGGTCAGTCACAAATTGATTTTTTTTCCCTGTGATTTAAAATCTAAGGAAAAACACTTACCATTAAAATGAGTTTTTGATACTTTTGTCTTAGGTCGGATACACTTGCAGATGGATCTGCACCCAGAATGCTGTACCAATCCTTTCTTGGTATCTGCTCAAATGCCATCATCCATTGAACAAGAAGTGGCCTTTCTCAGATTAGCTGAATAAAAATATTGGTAATTCATTAACTTGCATTTATATACAAAACAAGCAAGTATTGCTTTTCTAACTTCTCCAATATTTAGTTCTGTAAATCATAATTTTAAGGCAAATATGATGAAGTACATTTTTTCTCTTACGACATTCCACTTTTTTTATATATAAATATAGAGACAAGTATGAAAAACCTGTTACACATTTCACAATATATGCTTATATCTGAAACTAATGAGTATCTAACAGCATAAAAGGGAATTCGATACTGAACCCAAATGATGGATGACTCTTCAAGGAAGTATTTTTTGCTAGTCTTCTGGTAAACTGGCACACAGTAAGTACCCACTAAACCCACCACCCACTGCTGTCCAGTCCCTTCCAACTCATAGCAACCATACATGACAGAGCAGAACTAGCCCAATAGGGGTTCCAAGGCTGTAAATCTTAATGGAAGCAAACTGCCACCTCGTTCTCCTCCTGCTGGTGGGTTCAAACCGCTGACCTTTTGGTTAGCAGCCGAGCGCTTAACCACTGCACCAGCACTGCTGTTTACTAAAAAACCAAACTCACTGCCGTCGAGTCGGTTCCGACTCACAGTGCCCCTCCTTGGGCTTCTTAGGCGGTATCCCTACGGAAGTAGATTGCCAGCCTTCCTTCCGAAGAGTGGCTGGTGGGTTTGAACCGCGAGCCTTCTGGTTACCAGTCAAGTGCCTTAGGCACTACGTCACCAGAGCTCCCACTAAACACACTAGAGACAGTTAATAAAGGTTTACAAAAAGAAATTTAAAAGTAACAAAGCAAAAAAAAAACCACTAATAGCTAAAAGGAATTTGGAAGCATTCCCGCTAAATTCCTCCTGTTCACTTTTTTTTCTCCCTCAGATTACTTTCGAAGGGCGATATGCAGAACAGCCGGTCAGCAGGGGAAGGGAGGAAGCACGAGTCCCTCTACTACTGCGAGGCGCTCAGGCCTAGCAAAGAAAAACCCAGTCGGGGATGCCGCCAGCACTCCAGGATACAGAAAACACTCCACCAGGCACCCCAGAAAGCAGTCGACCTCATCCCATAGCTGAGAACATAATGAAAATGCTGAGGGTTCCTCGAGTGGGCTTTTGGAAAGCCACCTGTACAACAACCAGCTCTACCCTCCTAGCCAACGGCAGGTATCCTGCCTGGGTTCACTCGTGATCAGACTTACCGAACTTCACAGAGCCACGGCTGCTTTCAGCCAGAACTCGGAACAGGTTTTTCCTTTCGCCGGAAGTCATTGCTCTGACGTGAACACGTTTCTGGGCGAGACGTAAGGGCGGAGACACGGATCGAAAGTGCCGCACCTCCCATAGCGACGCCGTCGCTATGGTAACCATTTTTTGTTTGGACTGACAGAGTTGACTAGCCGTAAGTTCGGTTTTCGCCCCCTTTGCTTCTTTCTTCTTCCTTAGCGAGCATCCTTCAAGCCTTCCTCTGCCTTCCCCAAATCTTCCTTCGTTTACGCCGTTTAGTTTTACTCCTAGTCCTTTTGTAGGTGTTGCATGAACTTGGGGAGTAGGGAGAGGAGATCTGATCCCACCTCACCCCTACACTTCCCTTAGTATGGTCGCATTCGAAAATTAGGCAGACTGAAACATAGGCTTTATTTTCCCCCCTTTCAGTTTTAATACTTTTTCTGCAAAGGCTATTCAACGGCAGTTCTGGTAGTGTAGTGCCTAAGGCACTTGACTGCTAACCAGAAATAACCGGAAGTCTGACGGTTCAAACCCACCAACCACTCCTCAGAAGGAAGGTTCGGCAATCTACTCCCTTATTGATAATGCTTCGGAAACCCAAGGAGGGGTCGCTATGAGTCGGTCCGACTCAACCGCACATAACAACAACAACAAAGGCTATTCAACTTAATTATGTCTTTCAGACCTTAGCAAACTATTTAAAACTTTCAAGTTCTTTCACTTCTGCTACTTCGCTTCACTTTCACTTGCACCCAGCGAGGCAAGTAAGGTGAGTATTGTTATTTGTAAATGAGAAAACAAAACAAGGATCAAGGCCAAACCACTCACTGATAGCAGCGGAACCAGCTCTTAGCAAATTTTATTCCTAGGGCAGCTATACTATCTTTCGAGCTTACAGAAGAAGTAGAGGATGGAACTGCACCCCTTTGTGGCAGTGCTGGTAACAATTTAGCACTTGTTGTTATGTGCCGTCGAGTTTAGCACTACTGCCCAAAAAAGCACTGTTGACTTTTTGATGTTTTTTTCCCTCTACGCTTCTTCCTTTAATTTACCTCTCTTTCTTGCATTGCACACTGAGATGAAAGCTACTTCTCATTACTTCTTGGCAGTATGACATAAATTTCACTTGAAAGAATATGCTCAGTTAAGGTGGTTTTGTTGGTATTGGTTTTCAGGTTTGCTTACTTTCTTTTGAAAATTTTTTTTCTACCAATTGTCAGATTGAGAAGCAATCAAGATAAACTTAAGCACAATAAATAATATATTTTAAAATAGGCAATTCTTTAATGATGGTATGAACTATAAAGAAGAACTGAGTGAGCTATAAAGAGAAATGAAGTTGTGGTACATGCTGTAACATGGATGGATCCTGAAAATACCATGTTGAGTGAAGTAAGTGAATCACAGAAGGACAAATTCTGTTAGATCCCACTTGGATGAAATATCAATAATAGGCGAATATATAGAGTGCAGCTTTGGTGACGTAGTGCCTAAGGCATTTGACTGCTAACCAGAAAGCTGGTGGTTCAAACCCACCAACCACTCCTTGGAAGGAAGACTGGGCAATCTACTTCCATACAGATACTTTCTCCAAAACCCAAGGAGGGGTTGCTATGAATCAGAACCAACTCGACTGCAGTGAGTTTGGTTTGGTGTGGTTATAGAGACCAAAGTTTATTGATGGTTACCAGGGGTGGAAAGGAGAGGGGTGTGGAAGGAGAGTCCTTGTTTTTGGAAGCATTGTTTATCTGTCAATGGTGATGGAAAATTTGGCAATAGATATGGGTGATGGTTGCAACGTGATCAACATAATCAATGTTACTAAATTGTACAGGTGAAAAACATTGAATTGGCTAATGTTGTGATATATATGTATATGATATTACCAAACATATCACTGTCGAGTGGGATCTGATTCATAGCGACCCCTCCTTGGGTTTCTGAGGCAGTATCTCTAGGGAAGTAGATTGCCCCATCTTCCTTCCGAGGAGTGGCTGATGTGTTTGAACCACTAGCCTTCTGGTTAGGAGTCAAATGCCTTAGGCACTATGCCACCAGAGCATATATATATATATA